GAATACTAAAATAAGCATGAGTCAGTAAAGAAGTAAAGATGAAATTGTGCTCGTTTTTAGCTTATTTCTCAACTTAGTTTTCATCAGATTAACCTGTGAAAATATCCGTTCAACATTGGCTGATGAGTGATGTAGAATAAGCAGGTTACAAATAAAATTGGTTAAAATTGGAAACATGAATGTATCACCTCCATATTTCAATATTTGTACTTGGCTCCAAAACTCTTCAATATTTCCAGACATTTTTTAAATTTTGTTAACATTTTGCAACAGACGTCATTCTGTGTCCAGACCTTGTAATTCACTATCAGTTATTAAATTTGGAAATATCATTGCAACATCAGAAATAGATTGTAGGGAACCTGATTTCACTATCGCAGGATCCATAAAACATAATTTTATCATGTTTATGATCTATATGGCGGGCTTGATTCATTTTGTTTGAAAAATAACTCTAAAATACGAGGTGTGCTAAAATAAAATGTCTGCTATTACCAACGTACTTTGATCATGAATGGAAATATGATATTGTTTTAAGTAATCCACGGAAATGTTTGCAACTTTTATTTGTTACTTTTCGGTAGAAATCTGCATGGTATCGGTAGATCCGTAGGTTCCTTGACAAATCGGTAGATTTACCGAAAAATCGGTAGATCTGGCATCTCTGGGCTGAGAGCCACAGGTTGCAAATTAAGGCAACGCCGCTCAATTGGAGATTAATAAACATAAAAACAACTTTTGCAATATAACCAGTTTAATAATAAAAATCAGCGCGAATATTTCTGGTATTTTTGTCAACGTAGCACAAATAGGGAAAATTTAATAAATACAAAATATGCTCGATTAAAGGTAAAAAAATCACGATAAATTATCACTTTCAACTCGCGCCGCTAACACGAACAATTAACACGTCGCTATATAACAACAGGTGGGTGGGATACGTGCACTTAGAATTGAACATCAACTGTTTGAACACTTAGTCACCGTTAAAAAATATATGTATATCGAAGATAGTGTTCGACGCCCATAGCGGCCTTATGTATGTCCGAAAGTCCCAACTGATAATCTATCACATGTAGCTTGGTCCAGTCTGAGCTTGACGCACTAGAAGAAACTCTGCCGTCATGTTTTTCGAGGCGGCGGCGGTGGCGGGGGCGCCTGGCCAGAATTGCCCGGAATGTTTTCGTAAAGAATCGGTTTGGCCAAATCCTCCGGCGGCCTGAAATACACAGATTGTTTAAAATAAGAAAACAATAAAGAGAGATTACTCAAACGCCGCAAATAGCGCCTTAAGAAAGTTGTTCTTAAGACGGTGTTGACTGGTTCGGCCACGGCCCGTTTAAAATATCCAAAGCTGGAAAGACCGCGGTCCAAAACCGTGAGCGGAGTTTGAAGGAAACGCCAAATGAAAACTTAAGGGTTCAAAGGTTCACCTGGGCAAGGGAATTTCCGATACGGCCCTTTGGGGCTTTTTGGCATCGGGGCGTAGCACCACTGGAGTGGGTGACTGCGGGAAGAGGGTCATAGTGCTGGACAGCGTCGTGCCCAAGTTGCCAATGTCGCTACCGCTGTAACGGATGTTTGTGTACTCCCGTCCGGACTGGAGCGACTTCTGAAAATCCCCCAATTAATCCCACTGTGAATCAAATCCAGTTTGCCGTGCATACCTGCTCAGCCTTGATGCGCTCCGTAATGGTCTCAATGTGATGTTGAACAGCCAGATAGACGAACTTATACTGAGCTTCGGTTTGCACCATCCCGGAGCGCTGGGAGCGCACCATTTGAATAGTGCGCTGGATGTCGATCTCGCAGTCCAGCCCGTAGCGCTTCAGTTGATCAAGAATCATGTCAATGACTATGAAGGTGCCGGTGCGTCCGATGCCTGAAAGCGCGTTTAATCAGCAGATGATCCCGGGGTGACGTTGAGGACTTACCGGCAGAGCAGTGGACTAAAATAGCGCCGGGGGGCTGGTTATTGGGTAGTTCCCGCTGTAGCTCGTCCTGCCGCTTGTTCACTTCGTGGAGGAAGTTGAGGACGCAGCCCGGATCTGAGGGCACGCCGTGGTCCGGCCAGGCCTGCACTTTGCGTTAAACTAATCGCATTTTATGAAGTAAAGACGCAACTTACCGTGAAGTGGTAGTGGAAGGCTTTGCGCTCCTCATCCGAGCCCTCCATGGTGACCAGGAACTCCCGCAGGGTGTAATGGGGAGTGGAGGACTCCACAAGGTTCCTCACCACAACCTGGCCGTACTCCTTGCTTTCCCCCGGATCGGGCCAATAGCGCGCACACTTGTTCTTCAAACGCTCGGTCTCCTTGGTGGTCATCACGATGACGCGGCAGTTCTCCTGCCAGACCATTTGCCAGAAGTCGGGGACTGTGGAGGGCAGGCACCCTTGGGTGGCAATATAGACTTTGCCGACGCTCTCGCCGCCCGTTTCGCTGGCGTCGTCAGTTTTCCAGCTGATGTAGTTAGCGTTGATGTAATCGGCGCCTGCCACCGACGCGTCCACGTTCTTCAGTTTAACGCGCGTATCATCAACTGCAACATTTCGCGGAGTTAAGCGTTGTGCAACGAACTACACAAAAACCCGAAGATACTCACAAGGCAGGATGTTCTTGTATCGGTTCTTGTTGCGGTTCTCCGGCTTGCTGCCCTCGTTTCGCGAGTACAAATGCTTGAACTCCTGCTGCTGCAACGACTCGAATTCCTCCCAAAAGCCCGCCTTGCCGAAACTGTTTGGTCCATTCTCTGACTGATTTGCCAAGTTTAAAACCTCAGTGATCTTTTGCCCGAAACCCGCGCGCTTACCTGCAGCTGTTTCACTCTGGAATGAATCCCGGATGCGTTAATCCTGGTAGCATTGAAGGGCTGTTTCAGGTGGACGACTGTTCCCGAAGTTTCCACCATTGGGTTCTTTTTGTAGTGCTCGATCAGCTCGGCCAGTGTGTTGAACTTCTCGCCGCCTCCCACGTCGTATTTGTTGTCCTAAAGAAACAATCAACCGCTTAAACTGGCGCTAGTGGACGCACAGGGCTGGATCTTACTGGGGTGCAGCGTATCATCACATGCGTGACTTTATCGTCAGTCCGAACCGAAAGGACGAAATCGCCCGGCTTCGATTGGCTCTCGCGCACTAAAAAACTGCCGTTCTTGCCTCTGTCTAAGATCAGCTTTTCTGCGTCCCTACCGGACAAATGCCCATGGAACCATCTGGAACAAACAGTGCAAACTTGTGAAGGTTTCGGCTGTTTAGCGCGCAAATTGCGCTGTTGGAAAATTGTTTATGGCGATACCTGTTTGCTTTTCTATTAGGATTCCCATTAAAAATGCTAATTAAACACTGCGGTATTGTCAACAAGCCCGCTATCGACTCCAAATAACAACAATAAGACCAGTTTTGTTCGCGTCCTTCACTACTAATTTTGTTCGCACACCAAGTTGCTTGGAAAAAATCATCATTGCTTGATGATCGCCTGAAATCGATACTTTTTGCGCTTTAAGCAAGTGCAGATTTTGAATATCGGAGCTTGAAAATGTACCACCAAACGACTGATGATGATGGAACAAAATCGAAGCTTTTTGCTCTCCACTACTAGTTTGTTTCAGGCTTTTTTGTGTTGCAATCGAAGAAAGGCGGGTCTGGACCTTAAAAGATCGCTCGCAAAATTGAAACGACTTGCTCTGAACTAGTGAATTGCGGGACGTTTTTTTGGTATGCAAGTAAAGAAATTCGGGTCTGGACTTTTTCCACAATACCACTGTTGATGACGGAAAATTGAAGCGTTTTAAACTAGTACGGCCTGGAACTTGAAAAAATTGTCACAAAATGCCCGATGATGGAGCAAAGTCGAAATTGCCCGCTCTCAACTGTCCAGCTTCGTGCTTTCTTTGAATAGCAACTGGAGAATTTCTGGTAAAAACTGGAAATTTTGCCCTAGAAACGCTTTCCGCTGAACTAATGTTTAATTGCCTTCAAAATCAGTCACATAATGGAGGCAAACCGAAACTTTTTCGGGTATAGTTCGGCATCATAAAATCACAACTTGTGAGATTGAGACCAATTTCTGAACAGAAAGTTGAAAAAATGTCCAAAAAAATGCTTGATAATGATGGAAAACCGAAACCTTGTGCAGTCTTGTCTTCTTTAATACAACAGCAAACGAACCCTGATGATGGAGGGCAGACGAAACGTATAGGGAAATAAGCTGCACCCTTTTCCTCCAGCTAAACGCTCACGTTCGATTAATTAAATGCCGGCTTCATTAAAATTCAGGCGATTTTCCCAATGAACGGAAGCTATTAGTAATGCGATGATGTTGCTATCGCCTTAAACAATCGACCATCGCTGCTGAAACAATCGATCGGGTGCGGTTCTTCTTAATAAGCCAAGAAAGCCCTCTCAACACCACGTTCTTAGGCTGATTGGAAACAATAAAACGCGCTCAAACAGGAGGGCCGATGAATCCTCTGGAGGTCAGCTGCAGCATTAAATCGCATCTCCATAGTTGATGCACACGAGGCGCTTTTCTAGTAGGCAGGGAGAGCATGGTTTTCTTAATAGCTGCAATTAACCTTAGCCGGCCAATGACAATCGCAACTTACTTGTAGCCGAAATAGACGAAAGCCTTGCGAAACTCGTGCAAAGCGGTGGAAATGAGAATGGCCGTAGGCACTGTGGTAATCATGGAGGCGCTGCCAGGGCCCCTTTGGGCGCTCCGCGTCAGTTTAGCGAACATCGGGAAAACTGCCGGTGAAACTCGTACGATCACTATCCGTCTCAGGTTCGGAAGCGCGCAGAAATTAACGTAGATTTCCTTCTATGGGGGCGACCGACGCGAATTGCCGCTTAACACTGACTACCTAGCCATCATGCGGCGAGCGCACTAATTGATCAACAGTGGGGACTGATTAATATGGATGATGGGCTCAATGGGAAGAGTGCAGTCTGCATTACAACTCGCCTTTAATTTTCCCCAATCGGGAAAAAATTGCTTTATGACTAACGTTGGGCGGAATTAGTACCGATATCCATGTAAAGCCGCGGCCCAAAGGCTTGCCTGGTTGTTTACCCGACGAGTGAGTAATCGCCAGGGCGCGCCTTAATCAACACTCATCATTGAGGAGAGTTTAGGAAGTGTTCCAAGAACAGTCACTGATGTTTTGCAACGCAAAACAAACCTTGAGCGAGGTCGCGCTTCTTCGCGACCTGAATATTGAAGATTTCGCGGAAAAATCGTGCGCCATGCACTGCTGCTGCAGTCGTCGGCCCAAATAGGGCTATCAAAGGATGTCATTAGTGTTTCTCCAGCATTAATCACATCCTTCCGGTCAAGAGGGCTGGATGCGGCGGGTTCGTCGTCCTGTCCGCTTTAAGGCCAAAACTAAGGGCTCTTATCGGGCAAAACCTTCAAAACATATGCGCTTATATGGTAAATAGGACGCCGCAATGGAACAATTAACTGCTGGAAGCTAGCTTTGCATACTAAATGGGACGCGACCAGAGTCACGCAAACTTCTGGTTCTTCCTGCTAGCCGCGTTTATGAGACTGACCTTTCAGTGGTGGGCCCGTCGCAGTTTAGCGGATACTTCAGCTCGATCACGTCGCCGTGCTTCTCCTTCAGTTGGCCCTGTTTCTCCATGTAGTACTGGACCAGCTCGGAGAGGGTGGCAAACTTTTCGCCGCCATACAGATCGTAAAAGTCGCCGGAATTCTGTATCTTGATGTGGGTGACTTCGCCATTACGCCTAAAATACAAGTTCACTCGCTTAGTGCTAAGGCATTGATAGAACAACGTTGGAGCCCAAGGCAGATTGGAACAATTAAAAGCAAGCCATTGCAGTCCAGCCTTGTCAATAACAATACAAAGAATGTATGAACTTACCGGACTGATAGAGTGAAGTCGCCAGGCACTGAGGAACTGGGCCTTGCCAAGAAGCTGCAATCGACGCCCCTCTCCATCAACACCCTTTCGGCGTCGATGCCGCTGATTGTCGGCCAAAACCACCTGTTGCAGATCGATAGATTAGAAAAGTAACATGCTGCAGGCGCCGGTAGGCCCTCGGGGCGTCGCCCTTGGATCCCCAGGGGCTTTTGCTCCATGTTTACATTGATTCGGCCTGTCTCGGACGCATTCAACCAGGTGTAAAAATGGGGCGCTCATCGCCTGTTCAATACTAACCGTCTAGAGCTCATGGTGGATCATGCAAGCCTTGTTACTGTAGTCCTAGGGCTCAAATGGTTAACAGGAGAACGGGACGTTGTCAAACCCGAACGCCATGTTGTTTCTCACTGAACTGACATGGGCACGGCAGTCGGGCCAACCTTATGGTCAAACATTCCTGGTATTTCATAGGCGCACCCAGTGGATTTGTGCGGTTTTTTGTAGTTTGAGTGACGAAAACCGCCAAACGCCTCAAAAATACCGATAAAGGGCTTTAAAAGGACAGTGAATTGCTCTGGATAAGTAAAACTTGCTAGCGCTGTTGCCAAACGGTTAAATAAAACTGGCTCGGCCCACTATCAGGGAGTGTTTGCAGTTAAGTTGCCCATATATGGGTAGTATTAGCGGCAACGTTGCGAAATTCTAGTGGAAAATCTGCTCGGAGCAGTGGCGTGCTGTGGAGGTGCACCAAGGAATGATTAATAAAAAATGCGTTCACAAATTTTTATGAAACTTATCAGCGTTTGACAAAAATTACACTTTGAATATCTAAGTGTGGTTCAATGGAGCGGAAAACAATAAACAGCAGTAAACAGTTGTTCTTAATTTGAATTTTCTTCGGTAAAACATGAAGCTGTGCTCCAGAATTACCGCATTTTCAATTTTTCTGCGGGTGTTTAAAGGAAAAATTCATCAAGGTTGTGTTTTATGTCCTTGATTTGCTTTATTTTGTTGAATTTTCTTCAAAACACCGGCAAGGTTGCAAATTATATTATTGCTGAATTTTGCTAGTTTTTTGTATGATTGTATTCCTGAAAGCACTGTGGAGAAAGTTGGAATTCTTTCAACTAATTGACGGGATTTTAAAGATTTTTCAAAGAATCGTTAAACGTTTTGCTCCATAACGCAATGTGTCCTGCCTTAATAATTTCCAAAAAATCGGCTTTTTAGTTTGTTTTGTGCTGGCGCTTAATTTAAATTAGAGAGAGATAAATTCCTTATATAATTTTCTATATAGAAAACTAAAATTGACTCACATTGCTGAGGAATTTTCGGGATTTTTCAGAAAAATAGTTGAAACGCAGGTTTTTGACACTGTGTCTCACTTTAACCGCGCTCTTCTGATAGAGATGCCATGATTTTTTGCGCTTTACCACAAAAAAATGGTTTTCTGATCTAAAACCGGAAACAGCCAGGATTGTTTTCAGTTGGCGCTTTATAAAAATGGAAAAAATTTTCACGTCCCTAAGTAGAAAATTATTATACAAGCGTCTAGGTATACGACACGTCCTGTCACTTCTATCGATTGCGGCGATTCGAACCAATCAAATAAGCCTGCCGGTTTGTTGTTATCGAACGTATCGTTGACAAGTTCCACAAATAAGTTAAGACGATTTAAGGTTAGGTGGTTTTGTTTTATTGTTTGATGATAATTATTTTATAATTTGTCGAGATAAACAACCGCGAGTCC